GTGAGGTGACACAGCCCATGAGGTGACAGCCCCAGCAGCTCCTGCACTGCTTGCAGAGCTCCAGTGAAGCTGAAAGCTGCTCCCCCCCAAAGCCAGCAGCCAGCCAAGCAGAGCAGAGCAGAGCAAGGCCTGGTTTGCATAGGGGCTCCTGGACCGGGGCCCTGCTTCCCCTGGCAGGTGGCGGTGGGGCAGCTGTGGGGCCCTGCAGGTGCTCCCCAGCTCGCAGGGAGAAGCAGAGGGCAGTTCCTGCTTCAGGCACGGCTCTGAGGGCTGGTTGTGTCTCTCCCCAGGAGGCTCTGTCGGTGGTGAGCGACGACCAGTCCCTGTTTGACCCCACGTACGGCGCGGCCGCGCAGCTCCCCAAGGACATGACGGCCTCCGGCAGCCCCGACTTCGGGCAGCCCCACAAGATCAACCCCCTGCCCCCCCAGCAGGAGTGGATCAACCAGCCCGTGAGGGTCAGTGTCAAACGGGAGTATGACCACATGAACGGATCCAGGTAAGGAAAGAGCCTCTCCATGCTCACAGAGCCTCGATCGTGGAATCGCAGAATTTCCGGGTGGGGAGGGACCCGCAGGGATCATTGGACCAAACTCCTGAATCCAAACCCCCAGTCCAAAGGTGTGGTTACTGTGCTGAAAAGAGAGAGAAAGGACAGCAACACACACGGAGCTCTTTGGGGAAAAAAGGCCAATTTATTGTACAGACAGCCCGGATTTAAAGTGTGTCAGTGCAGCCAGGACAGGACAGGAGCTCATTGGACAATTCGGAAAAACATCCTTGGGACAGCACCTCAGGATGTGTCCCACGGGAAAGACACCAGGGGTTAATGTTGGTGATGAATTCCACTCTGTTTGTCACCATGTTCTCACCCTGGGAGACTCCTCCCTAACTGAAGCTGCAGTCAGCTTGTCAGCCTGGGAATGGAGCTGAGAGTCAGGAGAAATCCAGGCCTGAAAAGAATTTCCAAGCTGGAATTCCCTAGCTCTCTAAATGTGTGTGTCCACACAAAGGCAAAGCACACACTGTCCATTCCTGTTCATGTCCTGCACACCAACAAACCTCTCTGTGCAAGACCATGTCCCACTCTCCTGCAATTCCTTCTTTTGTGACTCATTTTTAGCAGTCTGAGCATCCTTCTCATGCAGTTCTGCAGGATGTGTCCCTCCCAGTCTCCATGAACACCCCAGAGACTGGGCATGAGGCTGCCAGGGCAGAGCTCATGCTGTAAATGCTGCTGGAGATCCCACATTTCACTCCATGGATGTGCTGTGGTTCCAGGTGCTCACACAGGGGAACGTGCAGCAATAATCAGATTTTCTGCCAGCAAGGCACTGAAAGCTGCACTGCTGGCCTGCAAGGGCTTCACTGAAGGACATTTTTTATTTTTGCTCTACCAGGGCATGAGCAAACCTCTGGAAATGGAAAGCTTTTTGATGAAGAAGGAAAAATAAGGAGACTTTATGGGAGTCTGTGAGGTGGAACAAAATCAAAGTCCTGTGCCCACCCCTTGTGAGTGGACAGAGGTGACTCAGGGAATTCAGGAGTAATTGGAGCAGAGGTGTGAACCCCCAGAGGGTGGCTGGGGTGGTGTAACCTGCCCAGCTCACAGCCAAAGGACAGCCCTGTCATTTGTACTTAGAGGTGAATCTTTTCCCTGATCAATGGGAAATTGAATGGCTTGAAAACATTTTGTTATAGCAGCTCAAGTAGCCCCTTTTAGAAACATTATTACAGCCTGGAAACAAATTTCACCTTCTTGAACATAATTTTTAAGTGTAAAAATGTCAATTTTATTTCAGTTTTAAATATAGATATATTATAGATACACTTTTGTTTTTTAGCAAAAGCTTTTAGAGTTCACATTAATTTTAAATGTGATTTGAATTTCAAAGTCACTAACATCTCTAGTGTTTCACAGTGAAACTCTCAAGGGTTCTTCTACTTTAGGGTGAGTTTAGCAGCACATTTTCCTGGTTTCTGAGAACACAGCAGAGCACAGAGTTGGAAACAGAAAGCAGCCTTGCACTTTCAGGCCTCTACAGAGAGGTGATGCTGTTAAAGACATCAAACAGCAGTGTGCTGTTTTTTCCTCGTGAGTGTACAGTAGATGCTGATTTTACTCTCAGATAAAGGCCTCTGTGGCAGTTGCTCTCTCCTGGGGATCATTTGCAGGCTGAACTCAATCTCACCCTGATTGTACCTCAGTAGCATTTCTTGACTTCATGAAAACCATGTGGGTATTTGCTGTGTTCCCAATCTCAGAATTAGGGTGAAACATGGGAAAATGAGTTATTTCCTGAAAAAGCACAACACTGAGAAAAGGATGGATCTTGAAAGTACCTGGGGTTTTGATAATTATGGGGGCTACCTTTGGCTACCAAGGATGGTTTTCTTAGGGAAAGGAGGAAGGAACCTTTGCCAGGCTGCCCAAATCAAGGATGAGGCTTGGAGCAACCTGGGGTAGTGGAGGTGTCCCTGCCCATGGCAGGGGATGGGATGGGATGAGCTTTAAGGTCCCTCCCAACCCAAACCATCCTGGGATTCTGTGATTGCAGTGCCAGACCCACAAATACAGAGGGGTTCCTCCCTTTCCACTCCTCTGTCCCAGGGAAACCTGGCAGGGAAAAGGAGCCCTCACATCCTCTGAGCTGCTATAAACCACACGTGTCTGTGCTCTGCAGGTCCTGTAAACACAGGCTTTGCATCATTCTGAGTGTGTCCATGCTTGCACACTCAAATTGTCTGAGCATTCCATGTGCTCTGGAATGAAAGGTCCTGGGCTGTCCTTCTGTGGTGATTCCTGTGTGGATATTTCCTCCTCTGCTCAGAAAAAAGGGAAATAGCTCTGCCTGGACAAACTGATTCATGAACAGATGTAGGAGCCCTGGGAGCCATGGAAAAGGCCTTTGGAGTGGGCTGGTTCTGGGCAAACAGGAAATCCTTCTTTACAGACTTGCTCAAGGCTCTGAGGTTCTTGGACACAAAACGTGTGCTCAGTGTCCCTAAAGAGAGGTAACCCCTGCCAGGAGAGAAGAAAAGGCTGCTGTGAATGTCAGGGCCATGCACTGCCAAAGCTCCCACCCTACCTCTGGATGCCTCCTCAGCATGGGAGCTCCAGGGCAGCCAGGACAGGAGAACATTCCCCTGACTCCCCCATCCTCTCCTCCCTTCCCTGCACATCCATCCCAGTCCCTGGGGATGGACTGGGCCACTCCAGCCACTCACTGCCTGCCCAGCAGCTGCCTGGCCAACCCCACACATGTGTGGGCACCCAATCCCAGCCCCAATCCCAACCCCAATACCAATTCCAATGCCAGTGCCAATCTCAAACTCAATCCCAATGCCAATCCCAGCGTTAATTCCAGCACCAATCCCAACCCCAATGCCAATCCCAGTTCCAATCCCAGTGCCAATCCCAATGCCAATCCCAGCCCTAATGCTAATCCCAGTGCCAGTTCCAATCCCAGTGCCAATCTTAGTGGCAATGCCAATGCTAATGCCAATCCCAACCCCGATCCCAACCCCAGTTCCAATGCCAAAACCAAATCCAATCCCAACCTCAAACCCAATGCCAATGCCTATCCCAGTGTCAATCCCAATGCCAATCCCAGTGCCAATGCCATTGCCAATCCCAATGCCAACCCCGATGGCAATCCCAGTGCCAGTGCTAATGCCAGTGCCAAAGTCAATGCCAATGCCAACACCAATGCCAATGCCAATGCCAATGCCAATGCCAATCCCAATCCCAATCCCAATCCCAATCCCAATCCCAATCCCAATCCCAATCCCACTTACATCGACCTGCAGTCTGAACACCCCCCAGTGCCCCCCTGGCTCTGTCCCTGCCTATCTTGTTCCTCAAGTGCCTTCTCCCCGTGCTGCAGCTGCCACATCTCCAGGATCAGCCTTTGTTGTGCTGTCACCAGGGCTGGGGGACTGCTGGGGGCGGTCTGTGTGCTGTGCCAGGGATAGAGATCCAGCAGGGACACAGCTCCTGCAGGGACACAGCTCCTGAAGGGACATAGCTCCAATAGGGACAGAGATCCTGCAGCGACACAGCTCCAGCAGGGACATAGCTCCAGCTGGGACACAGCTCCTGCAAGGACACAGCTCCAGCAGGGACAGAGATCCAGCAGGGACACAGCTCCAGCAGGGACACAGCTCCTGCAGGGACACAGCTCCAGCAGGGACA